TTCTTGTTATTTAATCCATTAAACTAAAAATAAACTACATTACAGGACTCCCAGTGAAATTTCAATACAAATTGATGGGTCACACTAATGTGAAATTTTTTTCCAACTTTGAACCTAAAGTTCAGGGGAGGGCGCAAAAATTACAAAAAATTGAGTGACCATTCAATTTGTATGAGAATTTTGCGGGAAATATTGTGGTATGATTTATTTTTAATTTTAGAGAAATTCGGGGGGGTTATTCTAAAATTTCTCCAATTTTTGAAAAAAAAAAAAAAAAAACGAGGTCCTATTTTACAGTTTACCAGGATACTCGCCCATACATTACTATGGTTTGAAAGATTTACACCCTGTATAACTCTATATTCAAAACATCAAATGACGAAGAAATTGTAACCATTGCAAAACGTGATGGAAATCTATACAAAATTATGTTTCATCAGGGAAACAAAAATAAATGTTTGTCAGCTATCTCTATAAAACCATGGCATGAAATACTTGCTCAAACAAACATTAAATATGTCAGGGGTATTTTAAATTAACATAGTATTAAATATATTGATGACTGAAATAATTATGTATGTTCTGGATGCGTTTATGGTAAGCAACATTATGTTTCTCATCCGGTAAATTCATAAGTGTCCATATTTTATTATATTGAACATATTTTGGATATAATTCATATCGACATATGTGAAATGGGTATCATGTCACTAAAATGTGCTAAATATTTTCTGTTATTTAAAGATTATTTCTCACAATATCGTACTGTCTACTTTTTGAAAACAAAAGATGAAGCTGTAGGAAAACTTGAAATATTCATGAAAATTATAGAAAATCAATTAGACAAGAAAGTTTAATGTCTAAGGTCTGATCATGATACTGAAATAAAAAATGCTTATACACAAAGATTATTGAATAAACTTGGTGTATTTCATTCCAATTCAAATGTTTATACTCCTCAACAAAATGATCATAAACGAGTTAAAACTGTTAAGAAATCAGAGAAAGGAATACTTGTTGGATATGACTTGGACACTCCTTGTTATAAAATTTATTNCTTGTTGGATATGACTTGGACACTCCTTGTTATAGAATTTATTTGTCAGGCAGATAGGATGTCACAAGCTCAGATAATGTAATTTTTGATGAAAAGACAGACAAAAATCAAACAATTATGGAAATTATATTTGATGAAAGTCAAACTGCAAATTCAGGAAGGGAATCAGATTCAGCAAGTTCTAACGATGAAAGCAAAAGTGAAGAATGTCAAGAAAAAGGAAGTTCAATTGTTCAAATCTACGACAACGTAGAACCTTGAAGAAGCCTGAAAAACTGAATGATTATGAATGTGGATTTGTTTCAATTAATAACTTAGATATGGCTATGATATGTGAGGTTGAAGATATCTCTGTTTCTGAAACGTTTAATGATGAAAAATGGAGAAAAACAACGACAGAAGAATTTAAGTCACTTGTAAAAATGAATACACGGAATTTGGTTAAACTGCTAAATAACATCAAATCGCTTACTTGTCGTTAATATTACGTAAAAAGCAAGATGGTCGATACAAGGCCAGATTTGTTGTCAGAGGTTTTGAACAAATGAAAGGTATTGATTATACTGATACATTTAGTCCAGTAGCTCGTTATGTATCAATTGGACTGCTTTTAAGTCTTGCTGCATCTAATTGTATGAAATTAATGACATTTGATGTCAAAACAGAATTTTTACATGGTAATTTAAAAGAAGATATATTTATGTATCAACCTGAAGGTTTTCATGATAATACAAACCGTGTCTGTAAATTGAACAAGAGTCTATATGGCCTGAAACAAGCTTCTAAAAATTGGAATGATAAAATTACAAATTTCTTGAAGACAATGGAGTTTAATGATACTAATGATGATCTGTGTGTTTATTATAACAATGACAGAAGTATAATAATTGCGTTATTTGTTGATGATGGACTAATAGCTGGTAAAGACCTTGATGAAATGTCAAAAATTTGATAAAGGAAACTAAAATAAACTTCCATATTTAAGTATATAAATACAAGAGACTGAAGATGGTATTTTTGTAAATCAACCAAATTATATTAGGAAGGTGATAAAACGTTTCAATTTTGAGTCTGTAAATCCTGTATCTACTTCGATGGAACCTAGAATGAAAACCGAAGAAGAACATTTTATGAATGATACCCTATCGTGAAGTCAATGAAAGTCTGATGTACCTGTCTACAATATCTCGTCCAGACATAAATTTTGCTGTACGTTATTTGAGTCGTTATTGCAACAAACCTATGCAAAGTCATTGGAAAGTAGTAAAACGTATATTTCAGTATTTCAAGAGTACAATGCTATATGGAATACTCTTTAATCGAAATGATAAAATTTTTGCTTATAGTGATGTTGATTATGCTGGTCAACCTGTTGCTCATATTTCAACCAGTGGTATACTCATTTTAAGAGGAGGTCCAAAAGTCAACGTCTGAAGTCAAATATCGAGCTGTAATTGTGTCTATTGATGATATTTGCTGGATTCGTAGAATAGAAAATGAGCTTGGTTATATAAATCCAGAGGGGTCTACAACACTTTTTGGTGACAACAAGTCATCGATACATATGCTACAAAATGTTCATGAGGGAAAATCAACTAAGTATATAAATATAGTATATTTATGTAATATGTATAATGTAGTATACAATGATATATATATATATATATACTCGCATTCATATCTAAATTATTTAATAACTCTTGAATTTCATTTTGATCAATAGACATGGAGCTTAAATTAACATTTATATTATTCATTAAAGACGTATTTATATTTTCTTAGGACTCTTCATTAAAGATTCTTGAGTCAGTATCATAAACACTGGAAAAGTAGTTGGCAAATAATTGAGCTGTTTCATAGATGTTTGAAGATGAGTGGTTTTGATATTTAACGCAATCTGGTACTACATTATTAGTTTTTTTCAGTGAGTTATTATATTTCCAAAAAGGTTTAATATTTGTTTGGATTTCGTTTTCTAAATTTGTGATAAATAGTGTATGGGAGAGAGATATTATTTTTTTGCATTTCTTGCGGAGATTAGAGAAAATAAGATAATCTTGATGAGAATGACTAAGTTTAAATTTTTTATGAGCACATTTCTTATCAATAATGAGTTTTCTAAGCTCAGAATTTGCCCAAACAGGTGAAAAATTATTTAATATTTTTGTTTTGGGTATAAATAAAGAGAATGTATGTAAATTATTTCATAAAATTTATTTATTTGAGCCTCAAAAGTTAAAGTATTGTCTAGATTAAGTTCAAAATCGATGTTTGATAGAACAAGAGAAATTTTATTGAAATCACAATTTTAGAAATTATACACTAGTGGAAGTTCATAAAAATTTTGTAAAAAAGGATGAGTAAATTTTATATTTAACTCTAAAGGAGGATGAAAATCATCAATTATTGGAACAAGGGATTCAGATGAATGAACAATAGAAGTAAGTTCTACATCAGAACTAAGAAATATACAATCAAGAGTATGACCTAAAGAGTTTTTAATGTAATTACATTGTTTTAAATTTAAAAGATTTACAAAAGAATTATATAGTATATCTCCAGAGACATTACCTCGAATACTTGATTCGATAGACCAATCGTAGCTATTTAAATTAAAATCACCAGTAATAATAAAATGGTAATCAGGATAGTTAAAATATATAGACTCTATAACATCACATTGTTTAGAATACATTTCAATAGTTGCATCAGGTGGAATATACACACAAACTAAAACTATTTTTATTTTATTTACAGTGAATTTTAGAAATAATTGTTCGATTCCAGTTACAAGAGGAACATTTAATAATTCACAACATATTTTTTATTTATTGCAATTAACACACCACCACCACGCAGTTTACCGTACGACAAATTACGATAATCTCTATATAAATTATAATTATTAAAACCAAGTTCCGCATCAAAAATATAATTTAACCATGTTTCATTTAAACAAACTATATCATAATTCACATTTAATAAGGCATTCCGTAAAAAGATATCAAACACTTCAGCTGGTGAAGCAAATATAGCTTTTATCGGGCGAGTATTATTCTGGTCACGGTTACCCAATCGGATAACTTTTAAAGGTTTAATAATATTTTTACCACTACTTATTGAACTGATAACATTACATACCAAATTAGAGTCTTGCACAATTCTATCAGTTATCTGACTTTGACTCTGGAACATTGTATAGAATTAAATTTGACGCTCTCATGTTACGCTCACTTATTTCGTTGACTATGAACTCTTCAGAATTTTCTGATGTATAAATAGTGTCTTTTTGAGTTTTAAGATCGTTTACTTCAGTAATTAAACGGTTAACAATTAATTTCAGTTCGGGGAGTTCACTTAAACCATTATTACAGGCTACACAAAAGAATTTCAAACTACGATTTTTTAATGTTAGACATTTAATTTCACTCACTGCTAAACCAGAACACTTGTTATGTACAGACAATTTGCAGCCATCACATTTGATAGGATAATTAAGTTCGGCAAATCCTAGATTACATTTATAACAAACCTCACTATTACTTAATGACATTATAGAGCTTAATTTACAGTAATGTAAATTTTATATTATAAAGTAAATTTATTTTATTTTACAGTTTAGAAACACATAACCTTACTGTACAACTATTGTGGTTATGGAATGTGAGACGGTATTAATTCGTTCACTTTTTTTAAATATTTCTTACAACGCGTATATATGTATGTATACGTTATAAGTATCGCGTACACAACACGCCAGGTTCCGTAGCCGAGTTATCCTGAATTGTAACAATAGAAGTTGGCACCGTGTAGATTGAAATTGTTCGCGCGGTGGACATTGATGTTGGTAATGCTGGACCGTTCGGAGGAAACGTCGTCGCTGGCGGTGTTGGTGCCAGTGGAAACGATTTGGTGAACATTATACGCATAATAATAAATTTACTTCATGAATTCTTTGCACTATTTCTCATTGAACATGTGCAGGTTATATATTTCGACGTATATCTTATCTTCTTCTACGACCTCTCCGAGCCATTTGTGGTGCTCGCCGGACATTAACTGCCAATCCTAAAAATAGATATAACAATAAATATAAGTTAATAAATGTTTAAATATACTTACTTTCTTGTTGTATATTTTCCCGATGTTCTTTTATTTCATTCCCAAGAACATTACACATATTAGTAATACAGTTATCCATAGATAGGCATAGGGTTTCGGTTTGAACTGAAGTTCGACAAAGAGGACACTCATTACTGTCTCTCAACCAAGTATTTATACAAATTTCACAAAATGTATGGCTGCAATTAATTGTACACGCCTAAAAAAAAAAAAACAAATTTACATATTAAATTTTATATCAAATATTCATTTTCACAATTTATGACTAAATTTTATTTATTTCTCAATGATAATGAGATATTTAAAATCATTTTTTTAATCTAATTTATGGATGCGTAAAATTCAAGTTTTTTTGAACTAACATTTTGTCGTAATATGCACAATGCTCTGCATTACGCATCTTACATTTATCAATATTTAATATTTAATTAATAATATAATTATATTCAATTTATCAATATTTAATACCAATTGTATACTAACAAATAATTAATTTATCTGTCATAACATATACACATTTGTACACTAGCTATTACATATGCATATACATGTTAAATTGATTATTGTATACTATGCATCTTATCTTAAAATAATTATCATGTTCAAATTTTATACAATAAACTGAAAATCACTAAAAGCGCTGACGGAAACAACCCATGATGGGGGTAATTAAAAATAATATAAAAAGGCGCTGATTTTCTAAGAGACCTTCAGTTCTCTCTTCTTTTTGAAGATCTGGATTCAATAAGAAATTCAGAATTCTTCAAACTGATTTATTTTGATCAAACCAGCCGCGACCCTGTGTTTTCATCGGTACATTGTAAAGCGAAATCAAGTACAATTATTTTTGTGTCAATACTTTATTTATGTATTAAAAAGGAAAAGTATAAATCTGAACGTAAGATATATAAAAGAAGTAATTAAATTTATATTAACCCAATTATTTAGAATTAATTATCTGAATAAAAAATGATAAAGTAACAGATCACATATTTATATTCAAATTTTATTAATTGTTACTGACTAGTTTGTACCTTGTACATAATCACATTACATGGTATTCGTGAGCTGGCCATCGCCTCTTCGTTGCCTCATTGTATTATTTCAGGTACTTACCAGTTAGGTCATTTTTAATACCTCTATGAGAGGAACTTAATACAAATATTTTTATATCTACTTGTCTTTACAATTCTAAACCCTCGGACTCTACAATCCCGATAGAACCTCGTTGCTCCTGAATTGACCAAATCCCCAAATACCCAACATTGGTCAAATAAAATACCCCAAACAACATTTTTGCTTATTTTTGTATTACTACAATTTTGAGATAAAATATGTTTTATTTAAACTTCAAACCCAATAATATTAATATTTAANATTATAAAATAATAATATATAGACAATGACATAGTAATATTTTTCATTTTACCTAAATTGCATTTTATTTTCATAAACAAACAAATTTACTTTAAAATGTGACACATCATGGTAAAGTAATGTATATGTAAGTAAATGAAGTAATTGTAAAATTATTTTTTATCTTAGACGATTAAGCAAATTTTATTTTAAATTGAAAATTTGTGTCTTCATATGTTTAGCAATCATATTAATTATTAGTTCAAAATAAAAATATGTACATTTACCTAAAGAAAAGCATTTTAAATTGCTTTACTAGATTTTACTATATGAATTTTATAATTGATTTTTAAATACATTTATTTACTTTTTCAACTAATAAAAAGGAAATTTTCATCAGAAATAATTTTTTTAGTTAAAATATTTTAGCTTTACTTTTCAGAAATTTTATTTACAATTCTAGAACTAGAAAGTTCAAAAAGTTTTCAGATCTCTACTATCACTTTATATTATTTAATAATCTTAAAATTGATTAAAAAGTATTCCCTAATGCATTTTTTAACCAAAGTAACATAATAAATTTGCTAAGAACTTTTAACATGATGACGTGTTATATTTACACTATTAATGGATATAAATGTAAAAATAATACCTTAACCATTAATTCATTACAAATTGAACATTGCAAATCACTTTCTAGAACACTATAAACCTTTTCTTTGATCGTTTCTTCAATTTTTGATATTTGATCTAGAAAAATAATTCAAACAAAAAAATTAACTTCTCAATATAAAAGATAATAATTAAAGTATGTTGAAGCTATTAAATGACTTAACAAAGTTTAACTTAAAAATTTTATCTAGAAAATAGAATTACAAATGATAATAATTTGATAAATACCTCTTTTTAATGTAATTTAACATTAGCCTTAATGCAATTGAAAGTTTAGGAAAAATAAGATAAATTAATTTTTTCAAAAATGTCTTAAATCCATAGGTGTTTTATTTTTTAATTAATATTTTTTCTTATCAAAATATTTAATAAAAGGAATAAGATTTATTTATTTTTAAAACGTGATGACGATGTTTCTAAAATAGTTATAAAAATCAATTAAGACCACACATGACAATGCATTATAAATTATATTTTTCTTAGAGATTTGAATTATAATTGTTATAATATAAAAAAATGTAATGTTTTATAAACAAAAATGTATGTTTATATGTAACTGCTTTTGATAATTACTTAATAATCAATGACCATATGGACATGATATTGTTACCAATGTTTCTAATGTTTAATTTAATACAATAGTAATATATAAGCCCAAAATTAATTTAAACCCCATTACGTGAACTCCATCCAAAAAATAAATAAATAGAGTTCATAGGTTATTCACTTACTGAACACCCTGTATATTTTATACAGGTAAATAAGTCCAGATTAAGACACAGTATATTTCATGTTATATACTAAGAATATCATGCGACTTTGCTTAAACAGGTGTAAAATTAAATAAAGTAAGTTAATAACAATATATATACTTATATAATCACCTTGTTGTATTTTTAAAGTATTTTCGTAGTCTAAATTCTTTCTTGTTAATTCATTATTAGCGAGTTTATGCTGCGAAAAAAATTTTTTTTAATATGATTTAATACAAAAATATAGGTTAATAAAACATGATTTTAGAACTAATTTAAAAACTAATACAATCTATATATACATTTTTTTAATTATAGTAAATGTTAATAAAAAAAATTATTATTGTGTGAAAATAATACAATATGTATTAACCAGTGGTTAAGTTATTTTTACTTAAAATATATTTACTTTTAGAACTGTTTTTTTCAATTTTTTAACTTTTTTTGATGCTTGATTAATTATTTCATTAAATTTATCAAATTTAGCATTTATAAAACGCTTTATTGATGCTTTTTCACTTTTCAGCTAAAATAAATCAACTAATAATTAAAAAATTGGATTTAAATAAGTAATACGGTCACATTTTGTGCACAAATCTTGGTTCAGTCAATAACATTTAACAGCTTGGTCAGCATTCATGCTTATTACAGATAGATATACAGGGACCCGCTGACAATGTTAATATACACATTCTTACAGAAAACTGTTTGTGAAAATGTAGTGCAACAAGCAGTTGAGACCTACCATATGAATGTTATACATCTAATTAATATTATTTGAACTTATTATTATTATTTAATTGTGATTTAAAAAATTATAATTCTCATGATGTTTATAGCACATTGTCATCTCCCTAATGGATATTCTCAACATATCTTGAATCCATAGATTATTATTTTATTTTATTTTATTATTATTTGAATCCATTTTACTTTAATTAGTTTTTTCTAATGTGATATGTACTAATTAAAATGTTGGGTTACTGTTAACAGACATATGAGATATGTACCCAAATAGGGTCGTATCATAAGTAAAAATTAAAAATAAATATATAATTTTTGTATTCATTTAAAGAAATGAATTGTAAAAAAAAAGATCATCCACAGAATTAAAACTTACAATATCGTCAACATCAGATTGACTTTCACTAGATTCATTTTCTTCACTAGATACTTCATTATTTCGTCTGAAAAATAAATACAATTAATTAAAACATCTAACTTTATAAAAATTAAACACAAAAAGCAGAGTAACACGGAAAAAACACGGAAAAACAATGAAACACAAACAGCACACAAGAAAAAGGCAAACCAGTTAAGGTCAACGTCGGAAACGATATTTGTAGACAAATTGTCGCATCATACACAGTAGTTATAAGTAATAAACAATTGTTGACTTACCGCCATGTTCCTTGTGTGTGTGGTCATTGATATTGCGTTCAACACTTACCGTATTAGACTGAAACCTTCCGTCTCGTTGGCAAGAGGGGCATTGGAGGCGCCGGTGTAGCTGGTGGACGGTTGGCCGCTTCTCTCAATATCGTCAACATCAGATTGACTTTCACTAGATTCATTTTCTTCACTAGATACTTCATTATTTCGTCTGAAAAATAAATACAAATAATTAAAACATCTAACTTTATAAAAATTAAACACAAAAAGCAGAGTAATTTTAAAAGAATAGGGTATATATGAATGAAATATTTTAAGCATAATTCTGAATTTTGTAAAAAAGCATTTTACCATGAATGCAAGTTTATTTAAATATTTTTTGTGAGCAAAGCATAGTTTAAAAGTTGAAATTTAAAAAGGAATAACTTTTTTCATTTTTTAACAATATTATTCATTTAATGTTAACGCGTATCCAAATGGTACGGCACTCAAGGTATATATATATATATTATATATTTATGTCTATGTGTATATATGTTTACACAAGCACAACAGTAAAAACAAAGAAACAACGTCGGAAGACAATATTTGATTCTTATAATATTAGATATTTTCCTTAATTCGAACAATGTTATACGTATGTAACAATGGGTAACTACCCTTCTGTCGTCGGTAATATCGGTAATGAGCACACTCGCCGCAATAAAAAAAAAAAAAGACACGGAAAAACAATGAAACACAAACAGCACACAAGAAAAAGGCAAACCAGTTAAGGTCAACGTCGGAAACGATATTTGTAGACAAATTGTCGCATCATACACAGTAGTTATAAGTAATTAACAATTGTTGACTTACCGCCATGTTCCTTGTGTGTGTGGTCATTTATATTGCGTTCAACAATTACCGTATTAGACTGAAACCTTCAGTCTCGTTGGCAAGAGGGAATGGACTATTCGGTCCGGTCATCCGTAACATATGGATGACGTCAGGACCGAAGGGGGAAAAAAAAGAAGGAAACTCCTCGGCGGATTACTCGCGACGAGGGGTTTCACGATGGAAACGGGGAGGAGAAGGAGAGTCTGCAAGGAACCCGCCCACGGCGTCCTCGACTTCCATGGGGGCCGGTCCAGCTGTGGTACTTGTTGCTGTGGAGGAGTGTCGCACGATCTCTGACAGTGATGGTGGACGGGTCCTTGGCGCGGGCATTGGAGGCGCCGGTGTAGATGGTGGACGGTTGGCCGCTTCTCTCTCCCGGTCTTTCCTCTCCTTGAAAGTCCTGTTGATGCGCTCCCTCCGACATACGTCCGACTTACGTCGGAGGGAGTGAGCTTCCTGTAGCCCGGGTGGGCTGTGGCGGCCGGCTGGCCGAGCCCGCCCTGGAAGACGTGCTCGCCACGTCGGCCGCTCCGTCCCGTGTGTAGGTTGTCGAAGCGGGACGGTCGGCGGCCCGCCGGTCACTGCACCACCGCGCCAGCGGTAACAGGGCGCTGCGGAGAGGAGGCACCACCCTCCCCCGGAACAGACCGCGGGACCACCGGCATGGTAGCGAGGGCCCTTCGAGTTTCACGGAGGGTAGCCGCGCGGCCGTCCCTCATCCCCTGATTGTAGAGTACGCTCGCGATCGCACAGTGGTCTGAAATCGAATTTTAGGCGCTCATAAGTCTCATTTTAAAATGTACTCATAATGTTAAAATAATTTTGAAATTCAATTCTAGTATATTGCGTAGACAAAATATAAAATTTCAAGGTCACATGTTAATCCGGTTGTTATTTATAGCCGTTTGAAGTAGAGATATGGTTATATTACGGTTTTTTCAACATAAAAAAGGTCTTTCGTTGTAAAGTTTTCTAACAAGTTAAAAAAAAATTTTTTTGATTAAGTAATGATCGTTTTAATAAAATAGAGCATTTTTTGAGGCGTTTTTGAAACTAAAAATTACCCTATTTTACCCAAGTATCAATGCATAGATATTGTAGAGCAACTAGTCTAAATTTCAAAAATATAATTTTTTATTGCGGCGGACAAAAATAACTGTGCATAAGGCTAATAAGATTAAACCAATTCGTACATTTTTTATTTACAATTAGTTTTCATTTATTTCAATTTCTAATATTGAATTGTTTAGGTTATTTATTTAATCTTCAACGTTCGATTCGGAATTGACAAATAAATTTCGCACATCAATAGAAAATTAATTTATACTTTTTTTTTAAATAATTTCATTGGAGATATATATGGATCACTTGATACTAATAGCATGTGCATCAAATCTTTTTTGGTATTATACCTGATACTTTCTTACTGGAGTAGGATATGATTCTTCTCTCTCCCGGTTCATCTCCGCGTTGAAAGAGTATTGCTCCCACGCTCATTATACTCGAACCGGTTTGAAGGCAGAAAGTTTTGGCGTAGTCAGGAGGACTCAGACGTGGGGACTCACACAGGGTCTTTTTTACCTGTTCTAAAGCCCTTTGATGGTCTTCCGTCCACAACCATTTCGTCCCCCTTTTTAGTAGATTTTTCAGCGGCGCTATTGTTTCGGCGTAGTTGTCGACGAATTAACAATACCAATTAAATATGCCGAGACATCTACGTAAATATTCCGTGGGACCGATAGGACGCGGATGGACTCAAGATTTTCAGGCTGCTTGTCTATGCCCTCACCGTGTACAATATGGCCCAAAAAAGAAATTTTGGAAAACCCTATTTTACACTTTTTTGTGTGACATGTCAGCCCGTGTCACTCTAATCGTTCTAGAACTTTGCCTAAATGTTCTAAATGCTTTTCTAAACTACTTGAATAAATAATTATATCGTTCAAGTAAACTTGGACGAAATCATCTAGATATCCTTCAAATACTTCATTCATAAGTCTTACAAAAGTCATAAGTGAATTTTTGAGTCCAAACGGTAGTACACGAAATTGAAACAAGCCCCTTCTCGTTCTAAATGCCGTAAACTTACGAGCTTTTTGATTTAAAGAACATTCCCAATTCCCGACTTTAAGTCGATTAACTATACATAAACGAAAAGTCCCGTTCTTCTTCTTGGCCAGCACGATCGGTGCTGACCACGGCGATACACTCGGTTCTATTAGCCCATGCGCCTCCATGTCGTTTACCATATCGTCAATAACCTCCTGTTTATGTAGGGGGTAGGGGTATGGTTTTAGTGCGATAGGAGCGGGTCTTTCAATAGAATGTCGTGTTCGATCAATTTTGTGCGACCCACCGTGTCGTTAAAGACCGCTGCGTAATTACATATCGTCTGTGTTAATAACGTCGCCGGTTATATCTAACTGCGTCAGATGTGTCGTGCGCCTGATTTCCAACAAGCGGTTGTACGTTTCTTAGTGCCTAAGTGTATTGTTCCTGCTGAGTAATCCCAGGCGACTTTCTGATCAATCAGAAAATCACGGCCAAGTAATACGTCGCAATACAGGTCGTCTAAAATAACCGCTGAAAACGCACTTCTAAATCCGCGATTTTGGCGGTACCGTTCGTCGTGGCGATGTGTCCGTCCACTAGTTTAACCGCGTCAGTGTGTCCTCTATAAACAGTTCCGTATTTATAAGCAATTACCGGTTTTACATACGATTTATGCGCCTGTAAGTCGAGTAGGGCTGTGACGAAGCCAGTTTCGAATTATAACTCGACCGCTGGAGTAGTAATTCTACGCGGGCATTTTCGTTGGCCATTACTCGGGTGGTTTACGGTTCGAACGGGGGGCAGCTGGTTCTTAACCGCGACGTCGGTTTGCCCACTGACAGTGTTAACTGCCATTAGTGAACTTGCCGGATCGACTGATACCCCCTCCCCCACTGTGCCCGAAAAAATTTCGAACACCTGACCCGCGCTTTGGTCGTTCGTGTCGGCAGCGTGTTCGAACTCCGATACCCTGATTACAACCGAATTTACCGCGGCGTCCCCTCCATTCCGATAAGAGAGGTGCGGTGCCGAAAAAGTGCCAAGATCGTTTTAAACGAAACGTCATCTAAAGCGCTGCGCCCTGTTTGGTTCTGTTGTAGGCTGGAGGGGCAGACTAATTCCCTCCTAGCCGATTGCCTGTAACGTGACAAAAGTATCTGAAGAGTGAATGTGTCAAACGTTCTATGTGCCAAAAACATATTTGTTCAGAAAACACAAAAAACAATGGTAACATGGGCATGTCTCACATATCGAACACCATCTATGAATGCAATTTTGTACAAGTAAAAAATTTAATTGACATTTGAAACAGATACAAGATTGTGGCCTTTGGCACATAGAACATAAATCAGAAATAAAACAATTTTTCACTTTTTTGGCACATAGAACGTTTGACGCATTCACTCTTCATCTATTTATTTTATTTGTATATATATATATATATTTGTGTTGAGCCGAATGCGGACTGCGACGGCGTTTGTTATTAAAATTATCATGATAAGGTGTTGTGATTTGTTTATGCGCGTGCGAGATAGTCAGCTGTGTATTACTTCAGACCGGTGCATGGACGGCATTTGTGTGTACATTCACCCCGCTCCTTTCCTATCTTGAACGTCATTTGCACTGCTCACCGCATACATTGTCGCCTTATGATTAAAATTGTTCTTAGTAATTTCTGGCACTGGGTATTAAGTTTTTTTTTGACCCCTACTCCAAAGGCTAGCCGTGTTGTCGCCAACAGACCGCCGGGTCAAACGTCGGACGGAATATGNGGCATAAAAAATTAAACTTCTAGAATCTTTTTTTAAACGAATATGCGTTTTCCAAAAAATAAAATGAAAATAAATAATTAAAAATCAACAAAATCAGTTATAACGTATTTTAAGACTTTTACATGTTTTTTACTGTAAGTAGTGTTTTTGTGGGCTATTTATCNTGTTTTTTACTGTATGTAGTGTTTTTGTGGGCTATTTATTGAGAAAACAACATTGAAGTTATTATTTTTGAATTTCTTGTAAAATTTCCTTTACTTGAGTTTTACTTTTATTATTCTAAGTTAAGAGAAAAAAAAGTTATGAGACATAGATCAGTTATTTCTATTAAATTTGACTCTTCGACTCAACTTAATAGGCCCGGGGGCACGGGTTAACCTTAACGGATCGGTCCCAAATTTTGCACAGCTCATTTTTTTGACCATTAAAAAAAAATTAAGGGGTAGCGTAAAAAAAAAAAAGACATTCGATTTTTGAGGGCCACCCTAGTGGTGACGTAGTGCATTTTATTCCGGATGTCCCGACGTCTTGCAAGCTAAGTCTAACTGCCTAAAAACAGTCGCTTACTTGGGACGTATACCCAATGCCGCGATTAATAGAGCCGGTGGGTACCCGAAGACGTTCATCGTATTCTCTAAGAATAAAAGTGTAGGTGTAACTATTTTTTTATTAATATCTGTTTTTTTTCTCTGTTCCCCTTTAAATTGTAGACGAGGTTTTTTGACCGTTCGGTTTTTTGCCTCGTGTTAACTTAATTTTTTTTTGTTTGTTTTTATTTAATAATTTCCCCTTAATTTAACTGAATCATCATATTTTTCTTTTTTTTGCGTGTTCCATCTTCAATGGACTCGTGTATTTTTTTCCTTTCAAAAATCATCTCCCCTTAGTTTATAAGGCACCGGCAACGGCCTTGTATAAGGTCATTCCTCATTGATATGGTTATGTGACAACTGTCACAAGGTTTTGGTGTACATCTACTATCAACGACTCAACGGACATCAACTTTAGTATTACTTAATTTTATATTTTTGTTTAATTGTTTTAATATATAAAAGTTAATTTTCTTTAAAATCCTACTGTGGTCCGCAATACATTGTCTCGCCCAGAGGTTGGCGACCATTTCTTGTAATTTTTTAATGCGCCATGAAAGTTACAAATTTTTTCGTTGCGGCCAATTAGTTTGATTTTTTTTATATTTGTGAACATTCATGCCGTTTCCCGATACCGACGGTCTGTTTGGGTACTGGCAGTGCCAGTGTCGCTCGCCGCAATATCGTAACCACGCGGTTGGGTGTATACCGTCCTGACAGAGTAGATCCTCCGCTCTGTCTAGAAACTCCCGTGGGTCCTCTTCGTTTCTCCCGTAATATTCAGGTAAGCAGGCGCGTACGGTGCGTAGGTCGTGGTAAGGTACCAACACAGACCGCGAACTGCGGGTAGGCGACAAATCATTGAAAGACCGACGACCGTCGGTTGTGTTGAATTGCCCCTCCCGTGGTTGGCGCGTAAACGAAATATCGGTCGGCTCGTTCTCATATGAATGAGTGCGCGGATAATGTTCGTCTTGCCAACCCGTACTACACATCCGTGGTAGCGACGCTTGTCCGTACGACCGTCTCATGTTGCGGGCTTCTTGCGCTTCGATGTCCGCGAGGCGCTCGTGTAGTGTTGCGTCGTGTCGCGTCGGGTCCGTCGCTCCCGATGGACCACTATCGTCGACTATCATTTCGCTCTACGTTAGCTTGACGAATAGTCGGTTGTGCAGCAGCATGTGGGGACGGCAGCATATTTTGACTGATTCGCTCCAACATGTTTGAAATCTGTCGCTGTTCCATTGACATACGCGACAGCGACCTTTCTAGTTCAGTTATAGATCCGCGCGTTATTCGAAATGTCGCCAATGTTCTGTCGGATCGCCCACACTTGTTCTGTCGCGTGCACTATCGAGCGGGCAACGTATACGTCCTCGACTTACGGTGCGCCTAGTTGACCGCTTGCTCGCGTAATTTCCCTCGATCGTTCGACATCAGATTCGTCGTCTGATGTGCGTAGCGCGAGGTTCACCGGATGTTTCTCCGGTAAAGGTGCTACGCCGGGCCGCTGATAGTTCGCTGACACGGTCCGTGGAGTTGTCTAAAACCCTCACTTCGGGTTCGCGGACCGGAATTTCGCTATCGACCGGCGTACGGGGCGGTAAAATTTCGGTAGCTGGATTCCTCCCTGCGCTACGTATGTTTTCCTCTAGTATAATTAGCATGTTGGGTTTCGTCGCGTAGCACGGTAGCTGTCTGAAAGCGCAACGTAATTCAGCGCAATTTACATTTATGCTAATGATTTCCCCGAAATATTGACCGTTAATATTATGTTTATTTATAAACCTTAATAATCAAATGTATGCTAAGTTGATAGCGGAGATAAACAATATCTCCGTGTACGGTCAGATTTGCTACTGCAGTAGAAAACAAGCGTTATTATTATTGCTTTTGTTGTAATAAAGTACCGCGATAAGATGGTACGGGGCCGCCGTATATGATATGGCAGCGAGTGAACAATAATAATAACGGTTACCTGGCAATCGGCCGCTTTGACAAGGTCAGACGAAAATATACTATTTTTATCTACCAAAAGACTGTAACTATCGGCCGGAAATTCACTTTTTGTCCATATCAATAAGGTCTTTATAACAAACTGTAACCAACACTTTTAGGCCCGTTTCACACTGACGCGTACGATGTACGCGTCTTGTATTTTTTCGTCATTTTGTCATGACTTCTACCCCTAGTAAGTTCTCGAAAAATGATTCTCATTATAGACACTGAAGTTTTGATAAATGAGGTTCAGTTAAGACCAAATTTGTGAAATTCAAGGGATGAAAGGTATAAGGACAAGGATATTAGAGCAGCAACCTTTAGAGAAGTAGCGCAACGTGTTGTAATTGGGTTCGATGCTATGAACAGCAACGATCAAAAAGATGCAAGTGAGTATTTATGCATGTATATTGTACACAGGCATTGTCCCCCCTGGGGGCGGGCGGTCGCTCATCCCATTAAAATGTTTCCAATAAAATATAATTATGTGTGCACATACAGGTAGGTAAACGGTTATCTTAACGCATAAGGTTAGAGGACATAAAATGGNAAACGATTATCTTAACGCATAAGGTTAGAGGACATAAAATGGGAGAATAATTGGAATATATCATTCTTTTTCATTTAATATTATTACCATTTATTTTTAAGAGTGTTCCGGAACGTTACTTTATACTGAAAATTATCAACTTTTTTAAAAATGGACGAATAGAAACCATTTAGATATTTTCTTTTTATTAAGTATATTTTTGGACACTTTACCTGCCCACAGGGAGGGATTCAAAATAGCAATTTTGTATTAAAAGATAACTTTTTCAACCTTACTTTTGAAAACGTTCTGGAAACACTCCGAGCTTCAAACATATGTTAAATTAAAGCTTTACCCTATAAACTACAAGTTAAATTAAAAAAAATTGTCCCGACACCTTATCTAATCACCCTATAAATTTACAATACAAAATATTCAATATCAATTTCATACTATTTTAATTTCTATAATATTTATTTATTCATGTATTATACTTATAAATCATAAAACTAGTCATCATTATATTATTAAGGAATTAGGGTCAATGTTGTTTTTGGTATAACCCAACAATTCCTTCTAAAAATTAAACTCAATCTACAGATATGCATCGATACAATTTTTATGATAGTAATTTTAATTACTGTCAAATATAATCTATACTAATCTCAACTATGTGGAGTCCCAACTGTGCGGGTTTTTTTTGTTTATGAATAATAAATATATATATTTTAAAATTACCATTATCATGGTTCAGTGGACAAAGTACAGCAAAGGTGGAAAAGTGCCAGGGACCAGATGAATAGCATAAAAATGTATAAAATATTACTTTTAAAATTTTTTATTTGTATGTTTATACTAAGAACAATTTTGATAAATGTTAATTATAAAAAAATGTTATTTTTTAGTAAAAATAATTCTTCTGGCAAAAACTTTTTACCAAAAGAATAAAAATCAAAGACCATTACTAGTAGTACTAAGAAGACATTTAACATAAACTTATTGAGCACATTACTTTTATTGACTTAATGAATCATTCTATCTTGCCATTCTACTTTACCAGCTTCGCTTATAAAGTAATTGGCAAACTGGTCCCTTAATATATTACCTGATCTATTATAAACATCAATTGAGTCATTAAGACTTTCAAAACCAATAATACTTAATGTGTTTTCAAATCTAAATCCAACTCTATTCCTGACAAAATTGTGCAATATACAACAAGCTTTAACAATTTTTATAGAAAGTTCTACACTTGTGTTCATCGATCTATGGAAAATACGCCATTTGTTGAAAAGTATTCCAAAAGTTGATTCTATATATCTTCTTGCCCGAGACAAGCGATAATTGAACACTTTTTTTTTGTAATTCAAATTGCTTTGTACATATGGTCTAAGTATGCTTTGAGATACACCAAAAGCTTCATCAGCAACTATTACAAACGGTAATAGATTTCNTTCATCAGCAACTATTACAAACGGTAATGGATTTCATTGGCCGGGTAAGGGTTTCGGTGGTGGTACAAAAAGTTCTTTATCTTCTAGTTTTTTGTAAAATTTTGTTTTTTTAAAAACTGTTGAATCACAACACTTTTCTTGAGCTCCCACATCAATAAAAGTAAAACAATAATTTGCATCACAAATAGCCATAAGAACTATTGAATAGTAATGTTTGTAATTATAAAAATCTGATCCAATCTGGATTGGTTTAATTAAGCGAATATGTTTTCCGTCCAAAGCGCCGATGCAATTTACAAAGTTAGCATCGTTTTCAAAACCCAAAGCAATTTCTTTACATTTTTGCTGATCCGGCAAAGGCATAATTTAAGATTTAAGTCCCCATAATTCGCTGCATACGTCTTCTACTATTTTACTAATAGTAGATATTCCCATTCTATAGGAGTAATGAAGGTCTGTGAATGAATTACCTGATGCTAAGTATCTATAAATACGAGCTAATTAAAATATTAAGTGAGTATTTATTCAAAAAACGTTAGTATGATTTCTGAGTAATTACAAATACTGTTAGATTTTACCCACCTAATATCGTGTTTTAATAATAAAAATTTCAAAATGTGAATTGTCAATTTAATTAATTTTTTTTAAGTAAAAAAAATTACTTTTATTAAACCCTTAATATTTTCCTATAGAAAAAACATCAATTCCCCGTCGTTTTATTGATAATTATTATGTAGTTATTATAAAATTAGCTCCTTAAATAATTTATTTTGAGTAATATTTATTACTTACCTTAATGTTATGCACAGCCTTTCTGTCGAAGAAATAGGTACGCGAAAGTTACTATTTACTACGGTTAGCCCCTTTTCTAACTTTGAAAATAATTCATAAAAAAATTTTAACGACATTCTGAAATAATCAAAACATTTCTCTTCGTGGTCTCTTAATCCAGAAAAAAGGGTTGCAAAAGCGCCATTAAGAGGTCTTTGAACTAGCATCGGGTGAATCCAAAATCGCCTAATTTTTTTTATTTTTGAAGTATTTTTTTTTTAAATGTGCCTGTAGGCCGCAAAAGCCAACATACATCTTATCTGTTGGACATTCATTTTGAAAATAAATAGAAATCGCTATAGCAAAAACGCGGTATAGTGTGAAAAAAAAAAAAAAAAAAACGCTGCGCGTACAAGAATATACGCGCTAGTGTGAAACGGGCCTTAAACGACAATACTTACTGCGGATTATATTAGATAAACTGCTCTAACTTTATTTTTATAAAAGAAAATTTTCCCAGGGACCAGGCTAACAATCTAATCCCACTAACATGTAACTGTGAAGAACCCAGATAAAAATTCACTGCTGTCATCAGTGAAATCCGTTCAAATAACTATATGAACTATCAAATTTGTGAGGGAGACTTCACCGTTAAAACTAAAATCTAATATAATTAGAAATAAAACTGAATCGGCTCAAAGCCTCTTCCCTTAACTTCTCTCGGCCGGTTGAGATTCCTCTTCGGTGAGCCAGTTAACGCGTATCCAAATGGTACGGCACTCCAGGTATATATATATATATATTATACAGGGTGTTCAGTAAATCAGGAAACGGGTTTCTATTGTTCTCATTGTTACAAACAATGAGAACAATAGAAACCCGTTTCCTGACTTAGTGAACACTCTGTATATATTTACACAAGCACAACAGTAAAAACAAAGAAACAACGTCGGAAGACAATAGTTGATTCTTATAATATTAGATATTTTCCTTAATTCGAATAATGTTATACGTATGTAACAATGGACAACTACCCTTCTGTCGTCGGTAATATCGGTAATGAGCACACTCGCCACAATCCAAAAAAAAAAAAAACACGGAAAAACAATGAAACACAAACAGCACACAAGAAAAAGGCAAACCAGTTAAGGTCAATATCGCGAGAGACAGTAGAGAGCGCCAGCCTAGAGCGACGGGCGGTGCCGTGTCAATGTAAAATATATATTTAATATTTTATAAACAAATATTGTTCATACTCTTTGTAATTATCATATTAACCGATTAGAAAGTTTATAATAAAAATAACTGACATGTATTAAAATAATATTTTTCAGATATTTTTGATTTAGACATAGTGTTTATATTAATCAATTCATTTGATGGCGTTTAATAAAATGAATAATAGATTTGATTATATTAGTGTATTGTTTATCCATAATCTACAAATTACTTACACACATGATGTCTTAAGAATAATCTTACTTCAATTTTTTATTTGTACATGTTTGTAAAACAAATCTGTACATATATTTAATAAATCTATTCTCATCTACAAAGGAAATGACATCTCCATGATTTAAAATNAGGAAATAACATCTCCATGATTTAAAACTTGATATTCATTTTGGTTATTGGGAATTCGCACACAATTTACATAAGTTTCATTGTCTGTTCCCTGTAGTACAGATATTGTTGATCAACTTAGAATTAATTATTCTCTTTGATAGCTAAATTAATATAAACATGCAATAAAAATTTTAAGTCTTACATTGTGAGAAATAATATATCGGCCATTGGATTTATTTATAAAACAATGCCGTCTTGTAATAGATTCTTCTTCAATTACAAGTGAACAGGCAGGAGAACTTCCGATAACAAACTGAAGAGTTATAATACATCAATTTAACCATTTTAAAGAAAAATGAAGTATATTGTAAAATATAAAACAAAGTTAAGATGACTTAAAGTTAATATAAATATTATTTTCATATAAAAATATATGTATTTTTAATAAGTTCATCTTAACACTTAAATTTATTTTATTTCCTAAAGAAAAAATCTACCTCAGTCTCTCCAATAGGATAGTAAGTGCCACTAGCCAAGCACTGTATTGTCGCATTACCAGTTAAGTCAGAACAACTGTTACTTCTTTTTAAGCTCATTCTGTTTTTTATCTCTTTTAAGATTTAANTAAGCTCATTGTGTTTTTTATCCTTTTAAGATTTATGCTATTCAGTTTCAAATCTATTATATAAATACACTTTAAAGTAATGAAAGTATTTGTTTTGAATTAAAAACATTCGAAACTATGGTAGCAGATGTTAATTACATACTGATNCTCAATCTCAGCTCTCGCTGGACCGATTTTGATGAACAATATGTCAAAAGATCACAAATCGTATCTAGTCGAAGACATTACCCTCAAAAATTTTAAAAAATTCCCTCGTTCCCCGCAAACGGGGGAAATCCCCCAAAAAATTACAAATTTAAAAATCGCTAATTTTTGATATTTTTTCATTTTTTTTTACTTAAAAGTGCCATAACTTTTTCAAAAATTAACAAATCAATTAAATTTTTTTTTTTATAGATATCTTAGATATTTACCTATTATTTTATATATTTTTTTTTATAAATTTGACCCTTTCCCTGTCCACAGAAGGGGATTCAAAATGACAACTTTTTCACAAAAAATTAACTTTTTCAACATAACTTTTGAAAATGTTCCGGAAAGACTGACACTTTTATATATATATTATATTAAAGCTTATGTAATATACTTTAATTTAAAAAAAAAAAATTTGATNTTTTATATATACCTTAAATTAAAGCTAATGTAATATACTTTAATTTGAAAAAAAAAAATTTGACCTCTGGACTTGTCTTCATGGTGAAAATGACTACCGTATGCAAAAATATGCTATTTTTGTGAAAAAATTCTTGATATTATATTTTACATTTTTTAACATTATGATGCCATAACTTTTTAAAAAATGCATGAATCAACTTTATTCTTTAATGATAAATACTTTATATATACCTCTTTCATTCGACTTTTTTTTTAAATCGGACCTTTTCCCTTTATACAGGGGGTTCCAAACCTTTTAAAATGCGTATAGAAAGTAGAACTTTTTCAACNTTGATATTATATTTTACATTTTTTAACATTATGTTGCTATAACTTTTTAAAAAATGCATGAATCAACTTTATTCTTTAATGATAAATACTTTATATATACTTCTTTCATTCGACATACTTTTTTTTTGTAAATCGGATCATACCCCTTTAACAAGGGGGGTCAAAACTTTAAACATGCGTATTGTTACTAGGACATTTTCAACTTAACTTTTGAAAATGTTCCGGAAAGACTGACACTTTTATATATATCTTAAATTAAAGCTTATGTAATATACTTTAATTTGAAAAAAAAAAATTTGACCTCTGGACTTGTCTTCGTGGTGAAAACGGACATCAAAGTTAAAGAAAAACGTACGATTTCCGTGAAAAAAATCTCGATTTTATATGTTATATTATTTAATTTATATTTTATATAACTTTTGGAAAAATGTATGGATCTATATTATTATTTTTTTATAATAAATATTGATATACCCCTTTCATCTGGCACGCTTTTTTTGTAAATCGGATCATACCCCTTTAACAAGGGGGGTCAAAACTTTAAACATGCGTATTGTTACTACGATATTTTCAATTTAATTTTTGAAAGTATTCCGGAAATACTGACACTTTTAAATATATCTTAAATTAAAGCTTATGTAATATACTTTAATGTGAAAAAAAAAAATTTGACCTCTGGATTTGTCTTCATGGTAAAAATGACTACCGTATGCAAAAATATGCTATTTTTGTGTTAAAATTCTGGGTTTTGTATTTTATTTTATTTTAAAATACCTGACAAGGGGAGTACAGATTTTCATAAATATTATATAAATTAAAATTGATATAGTATAGAAAGTTAAACTTATTTAAATTTGTTTGCTTCTTTGAAGTCGAGAAAAATAACTTTGAAATTTGAACTAGCTTAAATAACTAAATTTTTTCATCCGACGGCATCGACGTACGTGCCGAGTTGGTAAAATTTATGTTTTACACGCTTGGGGTACGAGGTTCCAACCCGCGTATGGCAATGAATTTTTTGCATTTTTTCTTAATTCTTTTTAAGTTAGTATAAATTTTAACTCGTTTGATTTTTATCTCATTTAGATTCAATAACTTCAATAAAGATCAAGGATCCCATCACTTTAGTCGCCCCTTGCAAGAAGAAATTTCTTATTCGTATTAAAATTATTTTACTATATTTTAAGTTTTAGCTTCGATGCAAAGCTGAGAAGATATTTTTTTGTGACAATCATTAATTTCCTCTGCTCTAACTTGACCTACTTTTTTCAACAATACGTCAAATTACTNCTACTTTTTTCAACGATACGTCAAATGACTACAATTCGTATCTAGTTGAAGATATTACCCTCAAAAATTGAAAAAAAAATTCTAATTTATCAATTAGACAGTTAGTTATTACATGTTCTCCATAAAGACTATTAAAATCATTAATTTCTAATTGTTTCAAAGTATTTATTGACGAATGAAGTTTGATATGATAGGTTTCAACTACAAAATTTAATCATTTTACTTTGTAATTTAATAATTTTTTTACTCTATTTGTGTGCGCTACTACTAGACTATAATATTCAAAATTTTTTGGTAACATGTTGATATATAAATCATTTCTAAAAAAAATGATTGCTAGTTTCTCCTGAGTTAATAATGGATTTTTACAATTATAATCAAATTGTATAGTACGCTATTGAGTATAATCTTTTTAACAACTTTGTTTTGATTGGTACATTTAGTTAAAGTAAATCATTAAAATTAATTAAGTTCTCAATATTTCAATTATAGAATCTTTTCAACAAACAACAAAAGTTCCTAGGAAATTATTACTATTACTTCTATTTAAGTTATCTATTACCATAAAAATGCAAAAAAATATTGAGCTTTTCTGATAAATTTACAATAAATAGTAATTATAAAACTTTCTGACTGCATATTGATCTTAACGATACAATTTTTTTAATTGTCATAAAATTTTCTATTTAATTATGTCAATGTCAAACTTACCAATTGAGCTAAAAGTTATGGTAAAATAAATTTTTTTTTTTTTTTATAAACATTTACAACAATCAACTTTAAACGATTAACAAAATTGGTTAAATATGTCATTTTCCTTATTTTTAACTTATTAATAATCAAATTAATATTAAATATTATATCAAATCAGTATTAATTTAAAACAATTTTTTTTGTTCTTAATTATTTTTTTTTATATGTAAAAACTATTTTTTAATAATATTAAAACTTAGAAGTTATAGAAAAAGTCTAATTGCACATTTTAAAACATCGCGAAAAGTTGATTTAGAATAGTATATTTTTGTTTCTGATGGAAGTTCCTTGTAGTCCAGTGTATAAAACTTATAACTTTGTTAATTGTTATAACTTTATCAAAAATGACCAAATCAGTATATTTTTTTTTATTTAGATGCATGTCTTTATCTATCATTTGGTTTTTTTTATAAATCTAACCCTTTACCTGCCCACAAGAGGGATTCAAAATATTAACTTTTTTTTTTTTAGTTAAAGTAAATCATTAAAATTAATTCAGTTCTGGATATTTCAATA